TGACACTCTTCCCCCTTCGTCTCACATTTTGTAAGCCTTGTACATGATCCAATCCTCGGTTATTCCAATTCAAAATGAGATTATTCACTCGTAGGCCCAACATTCAAAAATAAATGGTTAACAAACACTCCTGAACTCTCAATTCAATTAGTACTCCTTATAAATAGACAATCAATTGACGATGACAAAATACTTACGCTATTCTTGCTGGCCACTGGTTCGATTAGCAGTGCACTGGGGACAGCAAAATGCGAACGACCTTGGTGTCTGGGGTTGATGGGCCAGGCCCTGCAGGAGCTGAGACGGACACTGGGTCCTGGGCATGAGGGAGCCAGGTCAAACTTAACTGACCAGTCACAGGTTTTAGAACTGCAACTCCACCCTGGAAAAGTCCTGTTCCCTTTCCCCTCAAAACATCCTTCTGCATTTTGAATAAAGACTCCTCGGCAGAGAGCATTCACGGGGCACTGGGAGCCGTGGGAGAGATGGCAGTGGCCGTGCACACACCTGACTCCTGAGTTATGGGCAAGGCTTTCCTGGTCAGATCACACCTGCTGTAATGCCTAGTCTTCACCTAACAGCTGAAAATATTCTAACAAGTAACTTCACCTGGCAACCACAGCCATTCACCAACCTTGCAACACTTGAACCCTGAGATTCCTAATTAGACATTCAGTTACTTTAGAACATATGAGATTGTTTTTCTGAGACCTGCACAAAAGTTTATGCTAAGGAATATTTCTTTCATGTCACAAAATGCTTTTTTAAATCATATTTTTAAAATTTAAATAAGTAACAAGCATAATCAACAAAATAATTTGAGAACTAGTATTTTAGGCTGTATTTAATCTTCTGGAAGTCAAAGCTCATCGTAATATATTCTAAGCTGGGTATCCTCACACATGGAATTTCCACTGGCTTCAAAAAAAAAATCAGAGGAGAAAGGAGTACTAAGTAGTGGTTTCACTTTTGTCTATTTCAGACTTGATTATAAAATCAAGATATCCTGTTCAGAAATTCTCCATGAGAAAAGACCCACATACAGTCTGAAATCCTCAATCAATCCATTAAGCATCCTGTAAGACGCTGTTATCACAGGAAGCATCTGAAACTCATTAGCAGAAAAGGGAGAAAGACTTAATGAGCACAATTAGAAACTGCCTGAGTGTCCTTCCTCAGAACAGCAGGCCTGGACCTCCGGATGTGTGCACTCTGCAGTTCCGGTTTTGTGCAAATGTATTAGCTCAGTATTCGTTCATGTACACATCAGCTGCTAAACATGATTTCACTTTTAAGATTTATTTTTATTGGAAAGTCAGATTTACAGACAGAAAAAGATACAGAAAAATCTTCCATCCACTGGTTCACTCCCCAAGTGGCTGCAATGCCCAGAGCTAAGCCAATCTGAAGCCAGGAACCAGGTGCTTCTTCTGGGTCTCCCATGCAGGTGCAGGGTCCCAAGGCTTTGGGCCAGCCTCTACTGCTTTCCCAGGGCACAAGCAGGGAGCTGGATGGGAAACCATGGAGCAGCCGGGACACGAACTGGTGCCCATATGGGATCCCAGCACAAGCTGTAATGGGGTGCCGCCACTGATGGCTTGCACCCACTTGTCAGATTACTTGACAGCGGACAGGGAACGGAAACAGAGTTTCCGTACCCTGCCCTTCCCACATCCCCTGCCACCATTAAAAGTAATTGTAGGCACAAAAAGTACACCCTGCTCCTCCTTGAGCACCATTCAGGAGTGAGAGGGCGGAAGTTACTCCCAAGGTTCCATGCACCTGGCCCCTCCTGCCTCCTGTAGTGCTACTTCAGGTTAGGTAACTGTAACTCTGGGCTCTGGTAACTCCCTTCCTGTCTAAAACTTTGTTTGTATAGTGTGGCTCGCAATCTGATTGGAGGATGAGAGCTTAAAAACCCCTGACTTTGCCACTTGAGGCAGTGGCTCCTGGAGAGTAGCAGGAGCTGCTGTCACCAAGCCTGGAAAACAAAGACTCCTGCTAACATCCCACCCTTGGGTCCAGTGGGATCTCTCTCATACTCTGCTACAATGCAAGGCAAGGACTTCAACGACTAGGCTACCATGCTGGGCTCAGGATTTCACCTTTGATTTAAAAATAAAAACAGTTTCAGCTGGCCTGCACAGCAGTTAAGTCACTGCTTGGGCTTACATTTCCCATCAGAGTGGCTGGTTCAATTCTTAGCTACTTGCTTGAGACCCAGCTTCCTGTCAGTGCACAGCTGGGGAGAGAGCAGGTGAGGACTCAGGGACTTGGGCCCTCCCCCACCCCCACGCAGCACCTGGATGAAGTTCCTCCTTCCTCCCTGGCAGGTTCAGCCATCATTTAGACAGTCAACCAGCAGACAGAATATCATTCTCTCTTTCTCTCCTTCCCCATCTTGCTGTCTTTCAAATAAAATGAAAAATTTAATGAATTTTGGAAGCAACTATGAAGAATGTATTGTTAAAAAAAAAAAACCTGAACATTAGAGCTATAGAACTATACATAAAGGAATGCTGCTGATATATTTAACTCACTCCTGAGTTAAGATTCAAATAGTGACAAGTGTCTTGACAAAGATTAATAGAGTCAATTGCCTATCTGGGCTGATTTAACTTGATTGCTCTTCAGTCAGTCAAGGAGAAGAGCACAGAGGATCCCAATACTCCATCAGCACCACAAGCCCCGGTTGTACTGGAACTGACGTTCCAATATCCCACTACTCCATGTCAAATGTTTGCACCTTAAATTATATAGGATTAGAGTTTACCTTGTCATAATTCCATGGGGAAACATAGAAGTGGAGTTGGGGTCTGCTGCACAGACAATTATTTTCTGAAAAACATCACGTTTTCTATCAACACTAGATTCCTTGACTCAAAATAGAGCCAGCATGTCATGGATAGCTGTCCACGTGCCCACTTACTTTTGCGTGTGGAGGGCATTCTGGTGGGCAGGCACTACGGTCACACCCCCAACCGCCAAGGCTGATTATCTTCCTTTCTGCTCCGTCACATTGGTCAGCACGCCCTAAATGTGGCAGTCGCTTCAGAGATGCTTGCTAACCCTGTCTGAGGACAGCGGCTTGTCACTCCAGCTGTCCGAGGTAGCACTCGTCCTGGAGGTCAGGAGTGTATCAGGCCTGCTCACCCTGGAAACACCTTGCTCTGACCCTGCCCCTTCACAACAGGATTCACCTCTGGCGCTGGCCGTGACTTCAGTCTTGGGGACGGTAATGAGAGGTTGGTTGTGGTTGGGACCTTGTTCACTGTAATACTCCACCTGCCCTGGGTCAGGGGAAGAAACCTCAATCAATGAACTAGGACATTCTAGAACAAAAAAATATTTTTTCTTCCCAGTAGCATATGCTTGCTATTTTTATGAACCTATCTTTTTCATACTTAAATATATATATAAGGTTCAGCCTGAAGCTGTAGAGACATGAGGATAATAAATGAATATAAAATACGCTCACTACTCATTTCTGAGATTTCTGTAAAAGGAATAAAGGGGCTACTGGTAATGAATCTTCAGGTGGGAGAACCCAAATTTCAATAACATAAAAATTAGGGTCTTGGGCCAGGCATGATGGCGTAGCGGTTAAAGTCCTCGCCTTGAGCACGCCGGGATCTTATATGGGCACTGGTTCTAATCCCAGCAGCCCTGCTTCCCATCCAGCGCCCTGCCTGTGGCCTGGGAATGCAGTCCAGGACGGCCCAAAGCTTTGGGACCTTGCAGCTAATGAGAGACCTGGAGGAGACTCCTGGCTTTGGATTGGCTCAGCTCCAGCTGTTGTGGCCGCTTAGGGAGTGAACCATCGGACGGAAGATCTTCCTCTCTGTCTCTCCTCCTCTCTGTATATCCACATTTCCAATAAAAATAATTTTTTAAAATTAGGGTCCAGAGCAGTACCTAGTGGCTAAAGTCCTTGCCTTGCATGTGCTGGGATACACATGGGCACCGGTTCATGTCCCAGCTGCTCCATTTCCCATCTAGCTCCCTGCTTGAGGCCTGGGAGATCAGTCGAGGATGGCCCAAAGCTTTGGGACCCTGCACCCAATGGGAGACCCAGAAGAGCTCCTGGCTTCGGATTGGCTCAGCTCTGGGCATGGAGGCCATTTGGGGAGTGAACCAGCAGATGGAAGATCTTTCTCTCTGTATCTCATGCTCTCTCTGTATTTCTGCCTTTCCAATAAAAATTTTAAAATATATCTTTAAAAATTACTGCATGCCAATTCAAAATATAAATGTACGGGTATCAGAATTACATTAATCAAATGGCAAAATCTAACCCTCACCCTAACCCTGAAAATGACTGAAAATTTTATAAATGAAGAAGCTAGAAATAAAAAGCTAAGAAACAAGTTCTATAGGAAAGTAGTCCCTTCTTCCAAGCACTTGTTCATAATGCTTCCCAGACTACTGCGCATCAGTATCAACTCTGAATACCCCTCCGTTTCTCTCGCAGAGTGAAGCCACTCAGGCTAAGCACCAAGGACACACGCTGGTCTCTGTGCTCTGTTCTCTCCATTTCTGTTCACCAGTGAGTTGAAGCAGAATCTTACAAAGTATTTCTAAAGTCTGGTAGCTATTTTACAATAATACACACATACACATTTTGAAGGTTACTGATTAATTTTCATCAAAAAGCTGTCTAATTAGAATACAGCTTGTGTTTCCATACCCATTCTCAAGTTGTTGCTTTCTTCCTATTAAAGAGGCTTTGAAAAGGACTTTCCAGCACAGACTCATGCTGACTGAACAGACCAACTGTTGGATCACATTTTCCAATCCTGGTAAATGGTCACCTTTAAATACCTATACTCAAATGCCCGTTTTCAACACTGCGGAAGTAATGATCACCCCTTCTCCCCGCTGTGGCAGGCCCAAGGTCCAACAGCAGGTTTGGTTTTTTAATACATCTGACAGATTTAAAGTTTTTGACTGTGTGCTTCACAAGGACTATAAAGGAAGAAATGATAAGTCAGTACACTCACCTCCATGGGAAGACACGTCTGTTCGTGGGCAGATGGTTTTGAGTGTGCTGCCATAGTCCCATTTTTAATTTGCAAATGCGTTTTGCACATGTAGCCATCAGAACAGTCCTGTGTTCCACCACCAAAGAATAAACAAGAAAATCCTGGTTATTTTAAGAAATTATCTCAAGAACTGTATTTTCTCTTAACTTGAAAATCAAGAAATGAGAAATTAAGCATCTTAAGATAAAACAATAGAGACTAAGTTAGCACACCTGCACACAGTAGGTGTTCAAGACACAGAAATTTTATGTACTAATGTCTTTCCTTCTCCTACATTCAGTCATTCAGTCCTCCTCTCTGGACCACAGCACGCTAGTCCAAGAGCAGAACTGGAAGTTGAAAGGAAAAACATCTATGCTTGCAGCAATGTCTTGTCGCATAATGAATACTGATTTTTTAAATTCTGGCATAGAGGGATTGAAATTTTAGGAGGATTTACAACAGATCTTAAAGCTGGAAGGGATCTTCCATCTCTCTTTTTAACACAATCTCTATTAAAATGTCGCAGAAAGAGGACAAGGTGGTTGGTATCTGCTGAGGGCTCCTTGCTTCCCTCCTGCGCATAGCACTCTGGGAGAGTTGCATCTTAGATGCTGTTTCACTCATTGGTTCTACCTCTGCTCTCTGGAGTTTGATCCCTTTTGATACAGTTGTTCTTCAAATAACTGACAACATTTACTCCCCATCTTCAAACAGGCACAGTGTGCAAGGCCTCTGCCTCCTATTCCTCTCCTGTTCCCGCGCTTGTTCTTTAATATAATGGCAGATGACATTCATCTAATTATGGCCAGTTCCTTTTTTAAAAGATACATTATTTTTATTGGAAAGGCAAATTTATATAGAGGAGAGACAGAGAGAAAGATCGTCCATCTGCTGGTTCACTACCCAAGTGGCTCCAATAGCAAGAGCTGAGTCAATCCAAAGGCAGAAGCCAGGAGCTTCTTCCCAATCTTCCATGTGGATGCAGGCTATCCTTCTTTGCTTTCTCAGGCCACAAGGAGGGAGCTGGAAGGGAAATGGAGCAGCCAGGACATGAACTGGTGCCCATGTGAAATGCTGGCACTTGAAGGGGGAGGACTAACCAGTTGAACCATCACACCTGCCCCCAAGTTCCATTTTTTAAAATATAAGTTCATATGTAAGGTGATTTTTTTTTTCTCTTAAGATTTATTTTACTTTTATTTGAAGGGCAGAGATACAGAGAAGGAGAGATAAAGAGGAGATCTTCCATCCACAGGTTCACCCCTAAATAAATGTATATTCCACTGCGCTTTTCCATGAACCTTGTGAAGCGTACTTAGGGAAGAATCCGGGAAAGAGTTCTCGTTGTGTCCTTTAGAGGGAGCATGACCCTGCCAAGACTTTGCTCTCAGACCTGCAACTCTGGAACTGGGAGAGAATGAACTTCTGCTCTCTCACATTCTCCAGATCCTGGGGCGCCTCTGACAGCCTCAAGGAAATTAGCATAGTCCCTGTACTGTTGAACAGGTGCGGAAGCACCATGACCATGCCTCACAGGAGGCAGAGTTCCCAGGCCCCAGCACTCACTCCTGACTTGCTGGAGGAACTCGAGTAACCAGTGCTTTTGCCTCAGGCTGAATAGTTTAAAATTCATCCCTTACCTATACTGTAAAATGTCAGATGTTCAGTACTACCATTTTTAATGATCTCATTAAGGCCATGCATTTTGTAGATAGAGTTTCTGCTTTCCATCCCAGTTCTCTATCATCCAAGCACAAATCACACCCTCTGCAGCCTAGCAACGCTGAAATCTTTGTATTTGGCAACATAAATTCCAGCCCGGCTCTGACTGAGCAAAGTACACGGGCTGTCTCTGGCCATCCCTGGGGCTGAGGCTGCTGCTGCTTTATGTCCAGCACCCAAGCCCTCTTTGAGGAACAGCTGCCCATCGTCCTGGAAGGAACCCCTCTGGCTCCACCATCCAGGTCAACATGGCCTCCTACTCCAGGAATGGACACAGCATGCCCTTTGGCCAGTTTCACTGGCTTCCTACTCTTGAAAAGACAAATCCTCTTTAGTCAGGTGGTGAGATGCAATTTAGGACTTATTTTGGGGAAAGAGTGATTGTTCCCTTTGCTACTGGATGTGAACGACAAACATGGAACATCCTGACAGCTACCATGGAACTCTACGGAGCCAGAGGGGAAAGCAAGCTCATGAGACTTGGGGAGGCTGGATTCCGATTTTGCTAACCATACCGGATCTGGTTACGCTAATCCTACTTAAAGCTGGTTTTACCAACCCTGATGCTGTTTACACTAACCATACCTGAGGCTAGTTTACCCATAAATTCTTCAGTTACAAACGCCAGAACGACTCTGTTGAAGCCCATCTGGCAGCTGACTGTGCTGAGACTGGCTGGCCAGTGGTCTTCCCACCACCACCACATCAAACCCTACTTCCTGGCACCTGCCCAGCCATGGCCTAGCCCTCTGTAACCACCATTAGTACTGCAAATGAAACTGCTCCATCTTCAACTACACTTCAGCTTGTTCAAACTTATTGTTCTTCACCCACCACAAAGCTGCCTCACTCTGTTACTAGAGAACAGAAATTAACAGGAAAAGTCCACACGCTGTAACAAAAATACCATAAGTAACATCACTTCTCAACTCTCCCAGTTATGTAGAATGCCCTTGATTTTATTGCAAAACAAGAAGTAAGAATTTAAATGAGATGTGCTAGATGAAAGCCTGGAGAATATATGCATTTAAATATGACAACACAAAACACCGATCAATTCTGCCATAGAGAAAGATTCTTTACATCATAAACTCCAAAGACACATATCAAGGGACCAGCACTGTGGCATAGCAAATAAAGCCACAGACTGCCATGCCAGCAGTAGACTTGTTCAGGTTTTGGTTGCCCCTCTTCCTGTCCAGCTCCCTGTTAATGTGCCTCGGAAAGCAATGTAAGATGGCCAAGTGCTTGGGCCTCTGCCCAACACAGGAGACCCTGGCTTTGCCCTGCCCCAAGTCTGGCCACTGTGGTCATCTGGATAATGAAGCAGCAGAGACAAGACCCCTTTCTCTGTTTCTCCTCTGTCTCTGTAACTCTACCCTTCAAATTAAATATATATATATATTTTAAAAGAGACAAATATCAAAACGTAAAAAAAAATTTTTTTTTAGTTTTAAAGCAAGATTTATTAGAAAAGCTAAGAAAGGAGGCTCCCATCCTAGTGACGGGAAGGGATTTTGAGATAGAAGGAACCCTTATCCCCTGCCACACTGGCAGGAGGAAAAGAAAGAAGACCGTAAAAAACAATTCATAACACATTATAGAAAAGAACTAATTTCCTCAATACATAGATTTAAGTTTCCTCAAAATATAAAAATTTCCAGCATATCAATAAAAGAACAAGGAGCTTTCAACGGGAAAACGAGCAATGGATGTGTAGATAGTTCACTAAAAATGAAATACAATAGATAAAAATATGTTTATTACTCAAAAGAAAAATGAAAATTAAAAAGTTTCTGATAACATTTTTAACCTATCAGATGGCAAAGATCAAAGAGAATGAAATATATGGTGTAGACGAATACACAGATAAAACAGACAAGCACCCTTACACATCGCAAAGGGCCGGGGAGTTTACATCTCTGTAACTCCTTGGAGAGCAAGGTGGCAGTGACTAACAAAATTAAGAATGCATATACCTTTGACCCAGAAACCCAACTTCCAGGAGCTTGTCTTTCATATCAGTTGCACATGTTGAAAATAAAATTTATACCATAATATTTATCAAAGTATCAATTTAGTAGTATAAGATGGGAAATAATCCAAACACCCATCAGTATGGATTGGTTACATAAAGTTGTGGTATATCCCAGTAGTGTTTACATAAGTTATGGTATATTCCAATAGTGTACTATTACTCACCCACAAACACACATACACTAACACACAAACACACACACACACACACAGAGTAAATTTTATAATTTCTGTGTTGAAACATAACCAACATGCATCATTAAACATTTTTTCAGTGCAAAATACAATGCTTATACATAGACATTCTACCATTTATTTTTTTTTTTAAGATTTATTTTTATTATTTTTTCATTGGAAAGGCGGATATACAGAGAGGAGAGACAGAGAGGAAGATCTTCCGTCCGATGGTTCACTCCCCAAGTGAGCGCAACGGGCCGATACTATGCCAATACGAAGCCAGGAGCCTCTTCCGGGTCTCCCACGCGGGTGCAGGGTCCCAAAGCTTTGGGCTGTCCTCGACTGCTTTCCCAGGCCACAGGCAGGGAGCTGGAAGGGAAGCGGGGCTGCCGGGATTAGAACCGGCGCCCATATGGGATCCCGGGCGTGCAAGGCAAGGACCTTTAACCACTTGCGCCACCGTGCCGGGCCCTCTACCATTTATTTAAATGTAAGTACACACACTGTGTATTTTACTAGAGAAGTACCCCAGAGCCTAGTATCAGTAATGACTTCTGATGGCCTGGATAAGGAGGGTGGGAGCCTCACCTTAACTGGGGACCCTTTGCCCCTGGGTGCCCGCAGGCTAACATACTGCAGCAGCACACCCTAAACTTGAATTTGGAGGGAGAAAAACGCCCTGTCTGCCTTATCCAGAGCCCCCAGCGAATTGTGCGTGTTTTCTAGTGCAGTACTGACAGTATTCTGGATGGAGATCTAAGACTTTCGTAACACAGCATGTTTGGGTCTGCTTCTTATAAGCTGTCATCAGGCTATGCCACCCAGTGAGCTGTGTTATGCCTGCTGGGACCCAGCTCCCTAAATAATGATGTGTTTCTGTTGCTGAATTTTAGTAAGATTTTGAAGATATTCTTCAGAATAAAACAGAAAAGAAAGAAAGAAAAAGCTGTTCTTCTTTCTTTTATTTATGTTTTTAAGGTTGTTTTGGGGGCAGGGACTGGGGAAGAACAGCAGCCTGAAGGCCTCAGCCGTCCTTTGAAATAAAGCACTGCACTGCCAAGAAGGACCAGCTGCAGGAAGGGCTTGGCGAGGGCCCAGGCAGAAAGACACTGACATTTCTGGGTCACTGCCTGCCTGCACTGACCAAA